GGGGCTGCCTGTTCCCTCTCTCACCGCCCCGGGGCTGCCTGTTCCCTCTCTCACCGCCTCGGGGCTGCCTGTACCCCATTTCGCCTGTCACTGTAGTATTCGCCTCCGGTGCTGAGGGGAGAGAAGAAACAATGAGAGAAATAAAGGAAAATGAATAGGCGGAGCAGAGGAGCCCTAACAGGAGCATCCTACTCTGCCACCATTTTGGAAATGGAGTGCATTTTATACCAAAGGGAATGGAGTGTAAGAGAAGGGCAGTTTTACTGAAACTATGCAAGGAACTAGTCAGACCACAGCTGGAATATTGTCAACAGTTCTGGGTCCCTTATCTGAGCAAAGATAGACTGGCATTGGAGGCAATCCAGAGAAGGTTCACTCAGAGGAACTGTCTCATGCAGAGAGATCAAGTAGATTGGGTCTATACTCATTGGGATTTAGAAGAATGAGCAGTGACCTTATTGAAACATCTTAGGGGACTTGGCCATGTAGATACAGAAAAGCTGTTTCCCTTTGTAGGAGAGTTTAGGACTAGACGGTATGGAATCAGAATTAGAGGCTGCAGTTTTAAGTTGGAGATAAGAAGGAATTTATTCTCTCAGATTCCAGTGAACTGTGGAATTCTTTACTGCAGAGGGCTGTTGAGGCTGGGTCATTAAGGATATTCAAGGCTGAGATAGAAAGATTTTTAATCAGAACGAGAATCAAGGGTTATGGGGAAAAGGACAACCCATTCTGGAAATTCCTCCTCACCTCATTCTGAAATGGCCAATCCCCTTATTCTGATAGGTTCAGTCTCTGGTTCGAGATTGTCCACCTTCAGCCTTTCAGCATCTCCCTTGTCAATTCCTCTCAGAATGTTAAACAGTTCAAATCTGACCAGCTCACCATTAGGATCATTCCAGCCCACATCCCACTCACTGTAGGCAGTTCCCGATCACACAACTGGGATCCCAAACCATGCCATGAGGTGTGGGTAAGGTCCTGAAGGAATCTTCAAAGCAGGACGAAAGGTAGAATGCACTGTGCCTGGCACACACAGCATTTATAAATCATTTTATTCAATTTGTTCAATTCCTGAAACATACAGGTTTGAAGGGCAATGGGGAAAGAGCAAAGTAAGTGGGACTGATTAGATAGCTCTCTCAAAGAGCCAGAACAGGCATGATAGCTGATTGTCCTCCAGCTGGTCAAGAGGTACTTGGGGGAAATGGGGTTTCCAAAGGGGGGGGGGGGGATGGGTTTTTGAGATAGCTACATTTTCATTAACCAAAGGTATTAAGGGGTATGGGCCAACGACAGGTATATGAATTTAGGCCACAGATCAGCCATGCTCTCATTGAAAGGTGGAGCAGGATCAAGGGGCTGAATGGCCTCCTGCTGTTCCCATGGGTAGCGGGTAACAGTCATTCCTTAGGTGAACTCTCCCACCAAACCTTATCTTTTTTGTACATCCTGAATCCATTCACACCTGCTTCAAAAAGGACCAGTGTCAGTGACCACTGGTCAGGTCGGGTCAGGATGACATTGCTCTCCCCCCATCCCACACTAACACTCACTGTGGTTTTCAGAAACCGAATAATTATCGTCTTTCTGTCTTTGTCTGAGGATTTATTCTAATATTAAAGATTACAGAAAGATATCCATTAGCTCAGCCTGCAGAGCAGAAGCACTTAATCTTCGCGCTGAGTGGACTCAAAGTCATAACAACATAAGAACCAGGAGTAGGAGGAGGCCATTCAGCCCCTCGAGCCTGTTTCGCCACGTAATACCATCACGGTTGATCTCATCTCAGCCTCAGCTCCACATTCCTGCCAGCTCGCCATAATCTTTCAACCCATTGCTGTTTAAAAATCTGTCTATCCCCTCCTTAAATTTACTCAATGTCCCAACATCCACCACACTCTGGGGGAGTGAATTCCACAGGTTCATGACCCTTTGAGACAAGTAATTTCTCCCCATCTCCTCATCTATTTTAAATCTGTGGCCCCTTATCCTAAAACAATGACCTCTCATTCTAGATTTCCTCACGAGGAACATCCTTTCTACATCTACTTTGTCAATCCCTTCTAGCATCTTGTAGACCTCAATGAGATCTCCTCTCATTGTTCAAAACTCCAGAGAGTATCAACCTAAACTGCTCAATGTTTCTTCTTTAGACAAACCCCTCATTTCTGTAAATGGCTGAGTGAACCTTTTCTGAACTGTCTCCAATACAACTACATCCCTCCTCAAGTAAGGACACCAAAACTGTACACAATACTCCAGGTGTGGTCTTACTAATGCCTTGTATAGTTGCAGCAACGTTTCCCTACTTTCATACTCTATTCTTTTAGCAATAAATGCCATTTTTTAAGTCTGGCCTTCTGTTGGTGGTTTTACGCAAGATTTATTTGCCAATCTCTGGGCATTGTCAATAATCGCAGATAATGTCCAGACCATAGTCCCAAGGCAGCATCACACTGTAGTCTGAGCAGTCTGGGATCATGGGGTCAACACTGGGCAACCCACCAGGAAGGGGACGCTGACCCTATCGAGGGGAGGGCGTGGTGCAGCATAGATTCACCTGAAAAACACCAGGGCTGAAAGGGTTAACTTAGCGGGGTTCTGAAGAAGTCATACCACACTCGAAACATTAACTGTTTCCCTCTCTCCACACATGCTGCCAGACCTGCTGAGTTTCTCCAGCAACTTCTGTTTTTATGTCAGATCTCCAGCATCCGCAGGATGTTGCTCAGGGGGACAGGATGCATCTAGAATTGAGAATTATGAAAGGATTGAATTGGGTGGCTGCAGAAAAACTATTACCTGCATTAAGGGGAGTCCAGAACAAGGGGACAGTATCTTCACATCACAGCCAGCCATTAAAGCTGATTGTCAGGAAACACTTAGGATATAGGAACATAGCACTTGGGAACAGGAGGAGGCCATTCAGCCCTTAAGCCTGTACCACCATTCATTAAGATCATGGCTGTTCTGCTTGTGATCTCAACTTGACTTTTATGACTGACCTCACCTCCAACACACTAGTCTCCCTGGTTGATCAAAAATCTCCCTAAACTCAGCCTTGAATACGTTTAAAGATCTAGTCTCTACTTCCTTCTAGGAAACACTCTCATAACTTTTTCACAAAATAAAAATTCTCTTCCCCTCTATCTCAAATGCTGCTCCATCGCTTTGCGTCTCCCCTACAAGAGGAAAGATCCACACAGTATCCACCCATCCATTCAGCTCAGCATCTTCAAAAAGATCACCTCTCACTCCTCTAAACTCCAACGGTTATAAACCAAACCCTGTCTTCATAGGATACACAGGGAAGGGCAATGGAAATCTGCAACTCTCTTCCCTAAAGAGTGGGTTAGGTGGCTGGGATTTACTTGATAATTTCAAGACTGTTATCAATAAACATTTGTAGGGTTCATGCACTTCCAGAAGGCTTTTGACAAGCTGCCGCATGGGAAGCTGCTAATTAAGACAAGAGCCCATGGTGTTAGAGTCAAGGTAATGGCATGGAGAGAGCATTGGCCAACCAGCAGAAGGCAGAGAATGGGGATAAAGGCATTTTTTTGGATGGCAGCCAGTGACGAGTGGAGTTCTGCAGGGAACAACGTTGGGACCACAGCTATTCACGTTATACATTAATGATCTGGATGAAGGAACTGAGGGCATTGTCGCTATGTTTGCAGATGACACAGAGATAGGTGGAGGGACTGGTCGTGTTGTGGAAGTGGGGAGGCTACAGAAAGACTTGGAGAGATGAGGAGAGTCAGCAAAAAAAGTGGAAGATGGGATATGATGTGGGGAAATGGGAGGTTATACACTTTGCTAGGAATAATAGAGACATAGAACATAGAACATAGAACAGTACAGCACAGTACAGGCCCTTCGGCCCATGATGTTGTGCTGACCTATTATCCTACTAAGATCAATCTACCCTGCATCCCCTACATTTTACTATCCTCCATGTGCCTATCCAAGAGGCGCTTAAAATTCTCTAACGTATCTGACTCCACTACCACTGCCAGCAGTGCATTACACACACCCACCACTCTCTGTGTGAAGAACCTACCTCTGACTATTTCCTAAATGGGGAAAGGCTTTGGAAATTTGAAATGGAGCTTGGGTGTCCTAGTTCAGGATTCTCTTCAGGATAACATGCAGGTTCCACTGGCAGTTAGGACTGCAAATGTAATGTTAACATTCATTTCTGGAGCGCTGGAATACAAGAGCAGGGATGTACTGCTGAGGCTGTATAAGGCTCTGGTCAAAGCGCGTTTGGAATATTGTGAGCAGTTTTGGGCCCTGTATCTAAGGAAGGATGTGCTGGTGTTGGAGGGAATCCAGAGGAGGTTTACAAGAATGATCCTGGGGATGAAAGGCTTGTCATATGAGGATCGGTTGAGGACTCTGGGTCTGTACTCGATGAAGTTTAGAAGGATGAGGGAGGATCTGATTGAAACTTACAGGATACTGAGAGGCCTGGATAGAGTGGAGAAGATGTTTTCACTCGTAGGAGAGACTAGGATCCAAGGGCACAGCCTCAGAGTGAAGGGATGACCCTTTTGAACTGAGGTTAGGAGGAATTTCTTCAGCCAGAGGGTGGTGAATCTGTGGAACTCATTGCTGCAGAGGGCTGTGGAGGCCAAGTCATTGAGAGTATTTAGGACAGAAATAGATAGGGTTTTGATGAGTAAGGGGATCAAGGGTTATGGGGAGAAGGCAGGACAATAGGGTAGAGAAAAATCAGCCATGACCAAATAGAGGAGCAGACTCAATGGGCTGAGTGGCCTAGATATGCTCCTATATCCTGTATCTTATGGCCTTATCAAGAAATATGTACATGAATAGAGTTCAGAGATACATCAGCCATGATCTAGTACAATGGTGGAAAAGGTTCGAGGGGCTGAATAGCCTCCTTCTGAGTCCTGTGATGTTAGTTGCTTCCCTGTTGCATCTTCCACACAAACAGTAACCAGTGAAACATTCCCTTTCCTTAACCTTCCAACAATTAGCGATGTAGATTCACCACAAAATGTTTCAGGAACAAGAATAGCGAAAGCACCCACCCCATCTGCTAGGTTGTAAGAAGGACCAAGAGCTTTATTAAGGAGATGTTCACTCTGCAGCCAGCAACTAGTTCCCTCCCTGTCACATGATCAGACTCTTAAAGTGACAGTCCATCATACTTACACAAATACTCCACACCACCCCATTCCCTTTTTGTCCTTGTGGAATGCATTATAATGGGTGGGGGAGAAATCCTTCTTTATCCAATCATGATATTTCCAACAATCATCATTTTTCATCAGCCTTTCCACTCAATCTACAATATTGTTGTCCTTCACTCCCTACCCTCTCTAATGAGAGAGCAGATCTAAGGTCTTCCGGGACTATGGGGACTTTGTCTTTATTGCTACAGGATTATTTCTTTGGCGGGTTATGGGAAATCAGAGGCAGATTTATTTGATTTGTATTTTTTTGTCCTGTTTTTGTTGTCTCCCTAACTGTCCTGGTGTTTCTCATTATCTCTGGCTCTCTGTTTATCTCTCACCCTGTATATGTCTGTATATGTCTGTATATGTGTCCCTCATTCTCCCACTCTCTGTCCTGAACTTTCTTTTTTTAATGTTGTATTTTTTCTCCCTGGTCTATCTTTTTTTCTCTCTCTGTCTAATGTCTCCCCTGTTCATATATTTATGTTGTCATTCTCTGTTTCTCACTCCTTGTTTTTCCATCTCCATTTCTCTTTGTCTCTTTCTCACTCGGATTCTGTTTGTCTCCCACCCTTTCCCACCGTCAACACCACTCCCTGAATGCCTCACTCCCTTGCTCACTCTTTCCTTCTCTCTGTAACTGTTGCTGGTTCTCCCCTCCACACTTGTCCCCTCTCTCTCTCTGTGTGTGTGTTCACCTCTCTTGTTCTCTGCTTCAAACTTTCCCAGATGGATTTAAGCTTCCAGTGGAAGAGCAGGAAGAGTCTTTCCATTTCCTGGTCCTGACAGATATCCTCGGGAACAGACAGCAGGGAGTGGTACTTCACATTAACAGAGAGATAAAGGTGAGCATTTGAAACAATGTGTTTCATACAAAATGCTGGGGTTGGCCAGAGTTTTAATGTGTAGGATTATAATGAGAATTCTAAAACCAGAAAACATTTTATTTTCTCAGAGAGATGTGTGTCTTTGGAACTCTCTGCCTCAGAAGCAGTGGAGGTGGGGTCATTGAATATTTTTAAGGCGTGGGCAGATACTTTCTTATGAGGCAGGGAATCGAGGGTTATCGGGATAGAATGAAATACAGAAACCTCAACAGAGCAACCACAATCTTATTGAATGGTAGAGTAAGCTCAAGGGGCTGAATGGTCTCCACTGCTCCTAATTGTTATGTTCACATGGTATTGTAAGTTGTGGGGGAATAACTTGGGTCTGCTAATAAGGAATATGGATCCAAGGTGGCTAGCTAGAGTTGGTTCAGGTCAGCCAGAAGCTTGTGGGGGACTCTGGAACTCGGGAACAGTTACAGAATAAAGGGACACTCATTTAAACCTGAGATAGGATGGAATTGCCTCACTCTGAGGGTAGTGAATGTCTGGACCCCAGTGAGGCTAAATTACTCAAAGTATTAAAAGAGGAGGTAGACAGGTTTTTGAATTATTGCGAGTTGAGGGCTGTGAGGAGCTGCCTTACAGAGGAGGTGAGGCCTGGGGTAGATGAGCCATGATCTTATACAATGGCAGGGCAAGCCTGAGGGGCTGAATGGCCTATTGTTGCTCCTGTTTTTTTATTTTCTAACAGAATGGTGGAACAAACTGCACATGACCACCTCCTGTTCCTTCCTAAATTAGTGACAGGGCTCTGACTAAAGGCAGCGCCCCAGTTTAGGCTTACTGCTCAAGGTTACAGTAAGTTTCTTTTTCTGCTGTTAAGATGTGCCGGGGGTGGGATTGATCTCCACAGAGGTGACCCCACCCCCACCCAACTCCTCTCTCGTCTCCTCCCCTCCCCTCCCCTCCCTGTGGGACGACTGATGACTCTCTGTTCTCAGGGTTAGGCTGGAAGATTGTCTGAAAGGGGTAACGGGACTCAGGCCCAGCAGGAGGAAGATTGGCATTGGGGAAGTGGGGGAGGGCTGGGGGAGGGGGATGGGAGGAGGGAAGTCTTTTGGGAGAGTGAAGTCATCACTATCTGACCTCAGGTTTTGCCTTTGCAGGAGTCCGATCTATACCAGTCTCCCCCCGAGGGCATTGACCCCACAATGGACTGTACCGAATCTTTCAATATCCTGGTTCCCTTTGGGATCTGTGTCATCACCAAGTTTCCATATTACACAGTCCTGAAGGACTGCCTTTCCTGGTAAGAGAGTTAACCAGCCACTGTTACCCCAGTAGCGTCAGGAACACATGTGGAGACAGAAACCAGGGTTAATGACCCATCACAGGGAACGGGAAAAGTTAGAGATGTAACAGGGATCGAGACTGGGAAAGGGGCTGGGGACCTCCAGAGTGGGACAAAAGGGAAGGTCTGTGCTAAGGGGGAGGCTTGGAGCGATTAAATGACAAAAAAATTAACAGCACAAGACAGAAGTAAAGAAGCAAAGGTTAGGCTGATTGCAGGTTTAAACAACAATGGAAGAGGCATTACTAACTCCAGCTATATAAGAGTTGTTGGTTGGTTCGCCGAGCTGACTGGTTTTCATACAGAGATAGTGGGAACTGCCGATACTGGAGAATCTGAGATAACAAGGTGTGGAGCTGGATGAACACAGCAGGCCAAGCAGCATCAGAGGAGCAGGAAAACTGACTCAGAAATGATGCTGCTTGGCCTGCTGTGTTCATCCAGCTCTACACCTTGTTATCTCTGGTTTTCAGACAAACGTTTTGTCTCCCTTCTAGGTGACATTGTCAGTAATGTGTAACCTCTGTTGAAGCGCTGTTGTTCTGTTCTACTCTGAATTTATATGGTCCGTTCTGTCATGGTGGTCTGTCTCGTTTCCGGTTTGTGCCATAGTGGTATGTATATGAGGTCTATTTCAACATGTTTGTTAATTGCATCAACGGTTGAAAACCAGGCCTCCAGGAATTCTCATGCCTGTCTTTGTCTCACTTGTCCTAGTACTATAACTTTGTCCCAGTCAAAGTGATGCCCTTCTATGTCGGAGTGTACTGAAACGAGGGAGAATTAGTCGTACCGTTTTGCTGCGAGTTGGTGTTCATGTATCCTGGTGGTGAGTTTCCTGGCCGTCTGTCCTATGTAGTGTTTCTTGCAGTTGCTGCATGGCATTTTATATATCACATTTGTCCTGCTCATTGTGGGTATGGAGTCTTTTGTCTTTGAGAGTAACTGGCAAAGTATGGCTGTTGATTTGTATGCTATCCTTATTTCAAGAGGTCATAGGAGTCTTGCAGTCAGTTCTGATGTGTGTTGAGGTTGTTGAGGTTGGTTGGCTCGCCGAGCTGGTTTCTTGTTTCGCAGACGTTTTCCTCTTCATTTTTATGCAGCTCTGGGGTGTTGCAGTGAGTTATCCCTCTATTTAAACAGAGTCTTGACACAGCTCTGTTTGTGGATGCTGGGGGGGTGGGTTACTGTTGTAAATGAGTGATAACTTGCCCGTAGTGTTCAGGGGTGTGTGGGTTAGGTGGGTTAGAGGGGGATGGATCTGGATGGGATGCTCTGAGGGGCGGTGTGGACTTGTTGGGCCAAATGGCCTATTCCACACTGTAGGGATTCTATGAATGAATGGAAAACAAGATGCCATGCAGCAACTGTGAGAAACACTACATAGGACAGATGGGCAGGGAACTCGCCACCAGGATACATGAACACCAACTCGCAGCATATTGGCACGACCAACTCTCCCTCATTTCAGTACACTCCGTCATAGAAGTACATCAATTTGACTGGGACAAAGTTACAGTGCTAGGACAAGTGAGACAAAGACAGGCACGAGACTTCCCGGAGGCCTGGTTTTCAACCGCTGATGCAATTAACAAACATGTTGAAGTCGACCCCATCTACATACCACTATGGCACAAAACCGGAAACAAGACAGCTCACCATGACAGACCAGACCATATAAATTCAGAGCGGGACAGAACAACAGCGCTTCGATAGAGGCTACACAGCACTGACAATGTCACCTACAAGGGAGATGAAATGTTTGTTTGAAAACCGGTCAGCTCGGCGAACCAACCAACAACTCAAACTGCAACCTGAGCTACAGATCTTCGTTAAAACATTGAAAGGAGTGGGGCAAGGCCCTGGAGGTTTTGACCTGGGATTTCTGAACTCAGTGTTGAATCTCAGAGCTCGTTGGGAAATCTGGGAGAGTAGGAAGTCTGGACAAAGCCAGTAGATTATCCAGTCTTCCTCGGATTGATTAGGGATCAGTGGCCAGAGCACAGAGATTGTTGCTGAGGAAACTGGCTTGTGAGTGTTTAACTGGAGGGAGTTGGGCCTAACCCAGGAAGGGATGTGAGACGTGCAGTGGATGGGTCAGGAGGTGGGACATGTGCTGAAGAAGATAAGGCATTGCCAGTTTATGGATAGAAACCCATGTTGCTAAAGGACAGCACATGACCCAGGAGAGGAGGAGAGGCTGAGGAAAGGGCGGTGGGGATCTGGGAGGAGGAGGGATTGTCAGTAGCTGTGACAGAATCAGTGCTGTCCCGCAGTAACCTGTCCACCTTCTTCCTTCAGCCTGCTGCTAGACCTGAAGTCCTGTGGAGAGAGAGAGTTTGAAATGAAGGTGAAAGAGTTTGCAGCTCAGTTAGCTCTTGTCCCATGCCCACCGCCAGGATCCATCCAGCTGGTAAGAAACATGGCATCATCTGGTGTGTTTGTGAGGAACCTTGTATTTTATGAAACCAGGGAATTTTGTCTTTTATTCATTTGTGGGTTTTGGCCAGGGGCAGCATTTATCGCCCATCCCTAATTGCCCAGTCGACAGTTAAATTCCAATGACATTGCTGGGGGTCTGGAGTCACATGTAGTCCAGACCAGGTGACGATGGCAGATTTCCTTCCCTACAGGGCATTAGTGAACCAAATAGGCTTTCCCCCACCAATTGACAACGAACATCATTAGATTCTTAATTCCAGACTTTTGTTCATTTGAAATTCCACCATCTGTCACCTGATGGACCTTGTGTCTCCAGAACATTCCCTGGGTCTCTGGTTTAACAATCTAGTGACAATATCACCTCTGTCAGAATGTGGCTATCGCAGCGGGTGGTAGCGAGCTGCCTTCATGAATGCAAGCGAGTGACTAATAGGCCATTCCTGAGGGTACGTTGGGGCTAGGCTTGGGGGGCAAGTGTCATCAATTTCATTCCCAAAGGATATTCGGGAAGTAGCAATCTGGATGTTTTGTTCTTACCGGGACTAGCTTTTTATTTTCAGATTTATTAAATTAGCTGGACTGACCTCTCCAGCTGTCAGGCGGGTTTGGAATTCATTTCTCTGGTTTATTTATTTTCTTGTGGAAGGTGGTGGATAGGGCATGCCACATTCACCATGACCTTCACTATCCACAAACATCCACTCCCTCCACCCACCGACGCTCAGTCACAGCAGTGTGTACTATCGACAAGATGCACTGCAGAAATTCACCAAAGATCCTCCGACTCATACGCAGTTAGAAAGGGAAAAGGCAGTGCCCACATCAGGTCTGCTCACATCAACCAGGATCTCATTGATCACCTGGGCAGCTAAGGGAAACCTTCATAAACTGGGAGCCCCCATGCTGACCCTGGCACTGGGGCAACGATGGGGAGCCCAGCCTGGCTCAGTGCACTGCCTAGCACGCACTAGTAGGTGGTACCTGACCAAGACATGTGTGATTGATTTGTTTGGAAAGTAACTGATTGATACCTGACTGTCTCCTCATTTCCTTTCCTTCCCGCCCCCCACCGCCTCGTGCTGCTCAGTGCTTTGAGTTGGGCCCTCTCAGTATCGTGCTGTCACCTCCTGAGGATATCGACAGCCCCGTTATTGACATCGGCCTCCATGTCCCGTTCCTTTGCTTCAAACCGGAGACTGTCCTGCAGGTAATTACAGAGAGAGAGAGAGAGAGTGAGTGGGAGTGTGTGGGTGTGGGAGTGTGCGAGTGGAAGTGGTTGTGGGAGTGTGTATGGGTGTGGGAGTGGGTGGGGGTGGGGGAGCGGGAGTGGGAGGGTTGGGCTAGAAGCTGCCCATCAGGCACAGGCTGGGAATGACTCTTTGACTCTCTCCTGCAGATTGTGACGTACATCCTGACCGAGCGGAGACTGGTCTTTTTCTCCACAAACTGGCCACTGCTGACCCTGGTGACCGAGTGCTTCATCCATTACCTGTACCCTCTCCAATGGAGACACCCCTACATTCCAGTGCTGGCCAATCAGATGCTGGACCTCGTGATGGCACCCACTGTCTTCCTCATGGGCTGCCATTCCAGACACTTCGATACAATCAACGAGGTCAGTCACCGGCAACGCCACACCCCCTCAGCACTGACCCTCCGACAGTCGGGCGCTCCCTCAGCACTGACCCTCCGACAGT